AAGTCATTAAAAAAATGGTTTTCTGTAAGTATATATAAATATAGGGCGGGATTTTAATGGTATAAACAATAATATAAACAAATAAAATATAGCACAAGATGGAGTGTTTTTTCATTAACCAAAGCCTTTATTACCTATACCTATCAACCATAACCAAGTAAATAATGTGGTTTAAGGACAGCCACAATTGTATCATTAGTTCTTAATAAAAAAAAATACTTGAAAACAAAAATCTAGTGAATTTAAGGTATAAGATTTATTGACAAATGTAAAACTACAACCAATTAGTTAATTTTTATGAAGCTTAAACGGTGTGGCTTTATTAAAAAAAATTTAGTTTATTGTAATTACCATTTTGTAAATGTCTTTGTGACTTGTTAATTTTTGATTATTTATAATATTTTTTTATTATTGCTCTATAAATTATGAATTTTAGTTTTGAGAATTTGATATTCTTTTAACGCAAAATTAATGTTCTCTTGTTAGAGAAAAATTATTAATTATCTCAAGTGATCACTATTCCGTCCATTTTCAAAATTAAACGAATGAAAACGATTCTTGCAATATGTGAATAATGAATGACATTAAATGATTGTTCAACGATAAGAATCACACAAAGTGATAATTATAATATAGATAAATATACAATCTGCGATACTCCGAAGCATTGTTTTTTTTCTGTCAATCATGAACCTAGTCTAGCTCCTTTTTGTATGGTTTCGGCTACGAAATTTTCTTGAGCAAGTAGTTTATCAACCGTGTTTATCCAGAGAAAAATCGCAAAAAGTTTCGATTTGAACAAAGCAGTGCATAGTTTTTCATTAAACAATATCTTTTCGTTTATCTGAAGTTCAATGCTTGCTATTTTAAATTTTATGTTGCATCGGGTTAAGTTAATATCTAAGGGGGTCCAGCATGTGAGATCCTCTACAGTAACTTTGTAGTTTACAGTAAATTTTTAATGAAATTTGGAGAAAAGAAAAGACATATCGTATTTCTAACATAGTCTGTACGAATAAATCTGATCGACGCCGACTGATGTTCACATTTGTTTATCAAGGACGATATAAATAATAAAATACAGCATTCATACATTTCCGGCAACATATTAATAAATATCATTACACCGAAGTAGGCTTATTAAAGCTGATACGATACTTCGATAGAAAGTAAAGGATCATAAAAATCCAAATCCGATCCGTCTTGACGGAAACAGAACGATAAAACACTCATCAGTATCGTAGCTCAAATATTACTTATGGCTAGCAGCAGCGTCAGCCAGGTCTGGTATTAGAACGCGGGGGAAGTACCTACTTCAGCTCCACATGCAAAACTGTGCAAGTCAATATTACAATTCCAGCTGAATTTAGCTGTAATAAACAATAAGTTCTTTTCTCATACATTTGCTATTGCAAGGGTTTGCACCATAAGTGTTATCCAGAGCGATTTGTTATGATTATTATTATCTCTTATAATTTTAGAAGATATAAATTTATCAGTTTTTGATTAAATCTTGGCGACTTAAAAATAAAATTTCATTTTTAACGAACTACAATGAACATGAATAGGTTTGTTTTTGAAATGCAGTTTTCCTTTCCTTTTAACAAGGATTTAAAAAATATTTTTTATTTCAAATTAACGAATATTACTCTACTGCTTCCCATATTGGTTATTCAGTATCATTATCTTTATCTGGACATGCGTCAAATTATGATTCCTTGATTAGAAGTAGCCAGTCACAGGATTCTCGTGATGACAGGATAGTTAAAAGAAGTACAAATCTGATGTATTTTTTTTGTAGTTACACCCTAATAAATCCTCAGTTGGGTGTGTGGGCCTTTCACAATTATGATTTGCAAACAACAATATACTTAGTTTCTTTATGAAAATTCTAACATTCACGGTATAATAAATGATTGTGTATGGAGGGTGGAGCACGTTGAGATAAAACATTTGGTGTTTTACGAAGCATATAATTGCAACTTTTCAGTTTGGAACATCAAAAAATTTGGAATCATTAAGTTGATGTTTTAGGTTTCCCAAGCAGAACATAATAAAAAATGCTAATACTATTGACGTTCTTCAAGGATGGTTAAGATACAAACTCGTCTGTCATAACATTGCTGATAACTTATTGCTTGTAATCCTGACTTACATCACTCATAGAGATATTACATAGAGCTGCTGTAACATTTTAGTTATTCAAAACATTTGCATGTTTTCCAGATAAGTTCCAAAAAAACATTGACTTTTAACAATAGCTGATAAAAGTGACAATTTCAATGATTGAACAATTTTGTATTAAAAATGTAAGTGTATGAGTGCCTTTTGTTGAATTTTGTGCATTACGTTCATTCTTAAAACGCATTTCGACACTCAAGGTGTTATTATCCTCGGTAAAAGTACCTACGCTTTATGTGCAAATTAAAGCCACAAAAGCACAAGTTTTAATTTTAGCATGGCTCTTTCGATCTCATCAACTCTCGCAAATATCCTCATTTGCCTTGGAACGCTTGTTATGTTTCTTTACTTTTATTTTAAACGTGCCTATACTTATTGGAATAAATATGACTTATATGTGGTCCCTCCAGTTATTCCATGTGGAAGCGTAGGAGGCATAATAAATAGAGAGGAATCATTTGGCGTTACTTTGTCAAAAATATACAGACAAGTTAAAGAAAAGGGTGAAAAGCATGCTGGACTTTTCGTCTTATTAAATCCCTTATATATGCCACTGGATCCTCTCATAATCAAGAATATCTTCATCAGAGATTTTAATTCGTTCACCGACCATGCTATATATTATAATGAAAAAGATGATCCACTAAGCGCTAATGTATTGACACTGGAAGGTGACGATTGGAGAAGAATAAGAACTAAATTGACTCCAACATTTACATCAGGGAAAATGAGGAAAATGTTTGATACAATTTGGATTTGCAGTGATAGATTAGTAAATAAATTTGACAATATGATTGAAACGAAAGAACCGTTTGGGATCGGAGAGATACTCGCTTGCTATTCGACAGATGTCATAGGATGTTGCGTTTTTGGTATAGAATGTAACAGTTGCGAAAATCCCAACTCTGATTTTCGAACCAACGGAAAAAGAGTATTCGACACTACAAGGATGGATATGATTAAAAAGTCATTTGCCAGAAACTTTCCTGAAGTTGCACGCTTTCTAAAAATACGTGTCTTACCGAAGGAAATTTCAGATTTTTTTTTAAAAGTTGTAGACGAAAACATCAAACATCGACAAGTAAATAATGTGAAAAGAAATGATTTATTTCAAACACTACTGGAGCTAGAAAAAGACCAACAAGATCAGATAAAGAAGAGAAACAAAATAACAGCAGAAACTTTTGTTTTCTTTAGTGCAGGTTTTGAGACATCTTCTGTCGCTATGACTTTCGCATTGTACGAACTTGCTCTTAATACTAATATACAACATAAATTACGACAGGAAGTGTTATCGATTCTTCAAACACACGACGAGAAGTTAACATACGAAGCACTGATGGAAATGGAGTATCTTAATAAGGTTATTGACGGTATGGACTAAGTAATTGTAGTCAAATTTAATTTTAATGATAAGGCGTACTTAATTTTTTCTACTTTAAAGATTTTTTACTGGTTACCTGTAAAATGAAAAAAAAAAATTAAAACAATTACATTAAAGAAACAACACAGTTGTCTGTTAACAACACTAAGCTATTTGACAGTACAATTTTAAATAAATGAAAATAGTAAAAATTAAATCTAGACATGAAAAATATGCGTACTTTGTCTTTAGAATCTGGAATTACTTTAATTTTAACACAATGATTTATCTCTTTCATTATTCAATTTATAACTAGGGTATAATTTTTCGAAAGTTGTTGTAGCTGTGCTAATTCTACTTTGCACATTATTAGCCAAAAGATTGTCAATCCAATTTTACAGAGACGCTAAGAAAGTATCCACCTGTAGCTTTACTGGTCAGGAAATGCGTAGGAGATTATAAGATAGAAAACAGCAATGTGGTCATCAAAAAAGGGGTGAAAGTTATCGTATCAACATTGGGTATTCACTCTGATCCAGAATATTATCCAAATCCGCAAAAATTTGACCCTGACAGATTTAATAGCGAAAACAAAAGTAAACGGCCAGCTTGCACATTTTTGCCTTTCGGTGAAGGCCCTCGAAACTGTATAGGTTGGTTATATATATTATTATTGAATACTTTTTTTTAATATTGAAATGTTTCGGTTTTAGGATTAAGATTTGGACTACTGTTAGTCAAAATTGGAGTAGTGAATGTCATAAAACAATTCAGATTCACACTAAATCCGAAGACTGGGATACCACGATTGGATAAGCATTCGTTAACTTATCGATTTTCTGATGAAATTTATCTCGATTTTGAACGTATCCAGTAACAAAAGTTTGTTAAGACATCTGACTCAAATGAATAATAAAGTATTCAGTTTAGTAATGTATCATTTTAATCAGGGGTGTATTTAAGAACAATTATTGGACAGAAGGGAGTGAATTTTTCTCTAAATTTAGCTTCCGGAATAAGTTCTTTGCTAAGCAGCGTTTTTAAAAATTCGGTACTTTCAGCTATAAACGTCGCAAACTTGAATTTGAAGTTAGGGACAACAGACTGTTTCATATACGAGGGCGGTTCAATAAGTACCCGTGTTAGAAATGAAGACACCTTTTTTTTTAAATTAGTTTTTTTATTTTTCAACATAGTCCCCTTTCAGAAAGATACACTTCTCCCAACGACCCTGCCATTTTTTTTACCCCTCCAAAAAATAAGATTTGTCGAACTCTCCAAAATCCCCCCCTGTCTCGACGATGACTTCCTCGTTTGAGCTAAACTTCTTTCTCGCTAGTCATTTCTTCATGGTAGGGAACAAGATGAAGTCGNATTTAAATAAAGACTACAAGCAATTTCTATTTTTTCTTGTTTTTATTAATTAATTCCTTTCCTAAAATTAACGCATAATATAAAACAAAATTTATTATGCGAATCATCTTCCAAATGTGGTCGATCCAGATTGTCATAATATGTGAGAAATTAAAAAGTTGACTGACAATTTCGAAAAAATTAAACGTATGCAGTTTTTTTTTCTTTCAACATAGAATTAAATGTGAAATATATTTATGAAAATACGTCAGACGTCTTATAGAAAAGAAGGCACTTGAAAATAAAATTGTAACTACAAACTGATGCAATCATTAAAGTCAAAAACGAAGAAAAGTTTTGGAAATATCCCAATATCACTAATTATAGCGAATTTTATTCTTGTTTTAGATATACATACTAATTTGAAACGACTATTTTTTATTTAAAATTAACGAATATTACTCTATTGCTTTCCATATTGATTATTCAGAATCATTATCATCATCTGGACATGCACCAAATTATGATTCCTTGATTATAAGTAGGCAACCACAGGATTCTTATGATGACAGGATAGTTAAAAGAAGTACAAATCTGTATTTTTTGTAGTTACAACAGACTTAGTTTCTTTATGAAATCCCACATAGGTTTGCGATTTTGAGTAATTTTATAAAAAGTTCATTAGTTTTAAGTTCTATCACTCACGGATAAAATGAATGATTGTGTAAGGAAAGTGAAGCTGGTTGATATAGAACGTTTGGCGTTTCACGAAGGATATTATTACAACAGACTCTGTCCCGTAATCAAATCTTACTTAATTTATTTTAAGGAAATCTATCGCTCTACGATTGACCCATAAGCCGATGTCGACTGCTATGTATCATACCCAGAGGGTATTACCCATCACCTACTCACACCCTCCGACGCCTGACGTCATTATCAAAATATATTTGTCTGTTTTTTCACAGATTCCATTGAAATGGACTGATGTCCGCAACTAATGTAGTCCGGACTTGACAAAAAGTGAATTAATGACCATTTTTAATTACGACTATAACTACGCATTGAATTTTACATATTTAAAATTAAACAAAGATATGTTATGGCTTACACGATCTTCTTCAAAATATAAGTAACAATAACTAAATAAAAATAAGGACGGAAGGTGTATGTTTTTCATTTGCTCCGGGAAAAAATTTTCAATGCCGTTTAATTCCGATTAGTTAATACTTTTGCGGTACTTTTGTCAATAAAGATAGTAATATCATTCAGTCGACAATCATTAGAAAATATTATTTTACTTTACTATCCATGTTATCTAGTCTTTTAATTGTTTCTACAGGTGATACTATAGTATAATCATTATTCGTATAGGTAAGTTAGAAGCAGTTCGAGCACTGTAATAACGAATATATTTTCATGTATTCTAGATAATTTACAAAAAACATCAAGTTGTAACAGTAGTTGTCTAAATTATAAGATAATATTCAATAATTAAACATATTCCTTTTATAAATTTTATAAACATAAGTTTGTTTATGTCGGCGTAAGCAGGTGCATTCTTAATAAATTAAAAATATGGAATCTCTATTATTATCTGTGTTAATGACTATACTTGTGCCGTTGGGAATCGGCATTTTGTTAGTATATATAATTTTTAAACGAAGATACACGTATTGGGACAACTTCGACATTGCCGTAAAACGCCCTCAGTTTCCTTATGGAAGTCTGGGAAATCCATTCAATAAAACTGCATCTGGACATGTAACAGTAGCAGATGCTTATAATAGTTTTAAAAGAAGCAATCAAAAGCATGGCGGAATATACGTTTATTTTACTCCACTCTATTTACCAGTAGATCCAGTCATCATCAAGAACATCCTTATTAAAGACTTCAACTATTTTTCCGACAGGGTTGCTTATTATAACAAAAAGCACGATCCTTTAAGCTTCAATTTATTGACGGCGGTAGGTCAAGATTGGAAAGATATGAGATATAAATTGACACCACTTTTTACTATAAGCAAATTAAAACTAATGTGTCCCTTGTTGCAAATACATAACGAAAGATTCGTAAAAAAAATAGACGATTATGTAAGAAGAATGGAGCCTGTTGAGATAAAGGAGTTGATGGGATGCCTGACAACAGATATTATTGGCCGTTGCTCACTTGGAGTAGAATGTAACAGTATGGAACATCCAAACACCGATTTTAGAAAATTCGGAAAACGCCTTTTCCATTTCACACCGTTTCGACTTCTGAAAGCAACATTCACCAGAGGTTTCCCTAAATTGGCAAGGTACCTAGGACTGGGTGTATTTCCGAAAGATGTTTCAGATTTTTTTATGAACATTGTGGATGAAGTTTTTGATTATAGAACTAAGAACAATGCAAAATATAACGATTTCTTTCAATCATTAATGGAATTGGAGAAAAACGAGACCAACGAGAAAGTAAAAAAAACTAACATTGCGACTCAGGCACTGCTGCTCTTCAACGCTGGCTTCGAAACAACCTCGTCCGCTTTAACACATGCTATTTATGAACTTGGTTGTAATCTTGAAATACAAGAGAAGCTGCGCAAAGAGGTGACAACGGTTTTGGAGAAACATAATGGACTATTGTCTTACGAGGCTCTTACGGAAATGGAATACCTTGACAGAGTAACGGACGGTGAGAAAAAATAATTAAATTTTAATTCTTTAATATGATGAGCAATTATAGTAATATACTTCATGATTGGTGATATTGATCATGATTTCTCTGCAATTTTATTACCAATATTATATTTTCAAAATGTATAAATAAGAGCTAGGAATACAGAACGCCAGAAAAGTTATATCAATTATTTACTTAAGTTGTTTGAATCTACTTTAAACTAAGTGGGAAAGCCATCGTACAGGGCAACGGTCGGCAACTGGCAGACCGCGGTTCAGGTCCAAATCGCCGAAGGTCAAAAACTGGATCAGCAAAAATTTTTTGAAAGCAAATTACTCAAGTTATTTAAAAAAAATATTTTTCTGAAGGTAACAAGGCAAGTTTGACCTCTTTTGGAGGAAGGAGTATGTTTTTAGTGGACCTCAATAAAAATTTTCAAAAACATCCGGACTTAAAATTACTTGTCGATCGTTTGTATAGGGGTTGATATTTTATTTTGAATATTAAAATATTAAAAAAGGAATTGAAACAAAGAACTAATATTAAACTAGGTCCGAATCCTTCGATGACATCATTTTTTATACATGTAACGTTTATTATTCCAGAGACATTAAGAAAGTATCCGTCCCTCCCCATATCGATCAGAAAATGTATACAAGATTATCGCGTAGAAGGCACCAATTTGGTTATCCAAAAGGGGGTAAAGGTATGCATATCAATTTTGGGTATACACAGGGATCCAGAATATTATCCAAACCCGGAGGTATTCGATCCGGAACGATTTACTGAAATAAATAAAAGTAAACGACCTCCTTGCACGTATTTGCCATTTCTGGATGGACCCCGCAATTGCATAGGTTATTGTATAGATACATAGTAGAATTGGTTCAGAATCTTATGAATCTTGACCTTTGTTACATTCCTGGCGGTATACATTGTGAATGCAATAAGGTCAGTCTCTTGCACAGGCGACGACATGAGATTTTGGACTATACCTAATCATTATATTATTGGGAGATTACATGTGAAGTAACCGATCAACATTCTTTTCTTTCGGTGCCGTTTATAAACTACGTCGTTTCTCCTCATCCATTCGTCACGATGCGCCTCGTTTTCTGCATACCCCTCAAATATTACGTTACAAAACACCGACCTCCCATTACAAGCAAATAATCGCGATTAAGAATGGCATAGGTCAGGGATGGCGAACCAATGGCACTCGTGCCATTGGTGGCACGCGACACAATATTTTGGGCACGTCACAATGTTTCTGTGATTGATTCTTTAATCAAGGAATTTTCAGCAAGATTTTCTCACTTCAGAGAATTATCGGAAATACTAATAGGTACGAAAGTTTATTATGTACCCTGATGTGACATTTGAGTCTAGTTCAATATGATTCAAAAAGTTGTTGGAACAAGGAAAGAGTTAGAAATAATTGAAACAGAAAGACTGCCAGGGCAATACAGGTGAAAATGCTAATAATAAAATTTTGGAAACATGGAATGCAATAACAAACACATTTAATTTTTTGAAAAAGCTGGCGTATGATATTTTAATAAATGTTTTCATCAACCTATACGTGCGAGTTATCATTTTCAGAGATTAATAACATCAAAAACTCGCAGTTACAAACCGTTTGGTAGATGACTCTAGTTCAGCATGCATTCTGCTAAAATTAACATCTTACAACCCTTACATAAGTTATTTGTCATCTAATCTGCAAAAACAGAAGTCACACTAATTTTACTTTAATTTAAATTACACGTATAATTTAAACATTGCAAAATGTTCCTATTTTCTAGTAGAATTTTGAGTTGATATTATTTATTATCATTATTTTCCCAATAATCACAGAGACAAAATTATTTGATGGCACGTCTATGACCTGATTACGTAAAAACTGTAAATATAAAAAAGCGCACTTTAATTTTCGATCTGTTAAACAATCATTCTGAAAGATCCAATAGGTGAAATTCATGTAAAAAAATGTGAGGAATCACGTGGTGCCAACAGATTTTCAATACAATTTCAATTAAAGAAAATTTAATTGATACAATACGAAAATTACGTAAAAA